CATATGTAACATGATTTGCTTTGTATGCTGTAAATAGCTGTAGGACAAAACCTTTCCATTATACTACACCTTATTGGTCATGTTCTTCCTATGCATTTTTCCTCTTCTCATTCTGTTTTCTCAATATTTTTTTTCTCCTCTTTGAATTAGTCTCTATACCTACAACCTAGTATAACAAAAATATTAAGAAGAGGTCAATCCAACTAGTTAATATAATACATAATTTTGTGTAGATACCCTTTCTGTAGGATTTGGGTCTCTTATGTGCTTGAGTATCACTCAGTCTCACTGGTGTCCAGACTCCCCTGCTTCACTAACCTTGTCCGCTGTCCTAAGTCCAGTGTCACTCGACCTGTTTCCTGCCTCCTCCCTTGCGCGCTCCTTTTTTTCGGCACAGTAAGGTGCTGTTTCCATGCTGCTGTATATCATCAATTTGCTTGTCCTCAATTGTTCTAAATCCATACTGCTGAGAACTGCAGCTCCCACTTACAGTCCTGGAGGGTATTGATTCAGTGGGGTAGGGCTTGAGCTTTTCTGAAAACAAGCTGGGTGGCAGTTGGAAACCAGCTGGGTGGCGATAGGCCAGGAGACAGCACCTGCTGTTCCCCGCTCCCTTGTCAGTATGCCCCTGGGCTTGGCTCGAGCACACACCAAAACCTGTGGTCAAATAACAGGGGTGGCTGGAACAGCTACTCTCTGTTTCAGGGAAAACATCCCTCAGGTTACATAGCTTACCAACTGTTCCTTTTCCATCAAAGATGATGGAGGGGGTGGAAGGGGAAAAAAAAACCAAACCAAAACAACCCCACAGTATTACAGTCTTATCAGTGTCAGCTCACAGTTTGGCAGCCTGTCTCTTTCCAGGTGCCAGGTGTGTGCTTGTTTCTGGTGAGGTGGAGAGGTTGCTTAGCTAGTGCTTCCAGGTGCCTTCTGACAGTTTATACAGCTTGAGTTCAAAATGCAAAAAAGTTCCTTTGTTTCTCCCCCACACCTGTTCTCTGAGCTTTCTTCCATGCAGGTCTTGGAGGCAGGGAACCTCTCCCTGCAACTTGTGGTGCTGCCCTTCTCTCCACCAGCTATTCAGTGCAAAGTATGCAGAAGAACATAAGAACAGGAACAGAATGGCCAAATCAGAGGTATATCTGTGGGGCTTTGAGACTTTGGTTTTGCTTGCTTCTGAGAGAATGACAAGCAGATATCTAAGGAAACTGAATTCAAGATGTTACCGGCACTCTTGATGCCCAAAGAAATATCTTTTCCATGGTGTTGGAAGCTCCCATTGGTACTGCTAGCAACCAGGTAACAGCAGCATGCTGTGTGTTTCCTAATCACAAAGTGATGCTGTGCTGTGCTCGCTGTAGGGGAGGACATGTGGCATCTTGTGGCTTAGAGCTTACTAGCAAGGGCCTGTAAGTTGCAACAGGAAGTTTTGATCCATGTTCCTTGCCCTTCCAGTGCAGTGTTGTGTCACCTTAAGATTGTAGTCCTCCTCTGAAGTGAATGAACCATTTAGGTTCCCTTCATATTGAGGCTGGCCCCTGGCTGTGCAGTAAGAGTAGGAATGGACATCTTGATTCTCCTGATAAGCATTCTGCAGCTTAGCTCACTCCTGTGTACGCCAAGCTCCCAACTTCTGGGAGTGCCACAGGGTGAAACTTCACATACCTGGCACCATGTGGGGAGAGGAGAAAGAGGAGCAGCTCCTGCTGCTTCAGGTAATGTGGCAGGATGTAGGAGCTGCAGCTGGGAATGGTTGTATCTAGTGGGACTCCAAAGGGATTGATGCCTCATTTGGAGGCCTTCCCCTGCTTCCTTTCCCATTGCTACAGCACAGAGTGGAGACATCTCATATGCTTAAGGACCCCCACAGACACAGCTTTACTGGTAGACCACAGCTCAGGCTTGCTACTGGTCCCTCACTTGGGTGTACGGAAGGGGAGTTTTCATCCAAACTGCAATCCAGCGGGGGCACTTTGCACTGGAGAGTTGAAACCTCGCAGTGGGTAACATGAGTGAAAGGTTTGGCTTTTCACACTTGCCCAGAATGACTGAAGAGTAAGAGAATGGGAGAAGAGGGGGCAGATGGCAGCCACAGCAGGGCTGGCAGGGGAAGTGGCTGAGTGCTGTCAGAAGGAAAAGTAAATGCTCTCATAAACAGAACCAGCTGTTCTGGAGTTTGCAAGGCCACTTATTTTCAAAGCAGCCTTCAGGTGACCCAAGTTTGCATTCATGAGAATCTTGGTGGCTGGTCAAAGTGCCATTAGTGTTTAGTATGAATAAATGTTTCCAAGAATGTTTGTGCTAGAGGTGTTCTTTCAGCCATTCTGAAAAGTTATAGGTTTAATTATTCATACAATAGATTAATCTGACACTTGCAGGTGGCCCTTGATAACTGGCAGGCAAGAAAGCTGAATGGTGTGCTGCTGATTTATGCAGCGTAGGCTATCAGTCAGAGACTGGAAACACCATCAGGTGACCATTCAGAGAAACAATGGATCAAAATCTCTCCAATTCTAAATGTCTCCATTTCAACTCCAAACCTTTCATTTAATCTCTTTTTTCATGCACTCTACCCACCCCTACACTTGTTCGCTAGTCATTAGAATTCCTCGTATAGCTCTTTTCTTCATCTAATGGAGACTTCTTGGACCAAAGTGTGTGTGGGGAGAAGAGGAGAAACAATGAAGAAAGAGAGTGGGAATATAGCTGTTTATGGTGGTAAGAGGTGCATAATTGATTTTCTGGCTGCAGAGATTTTCTTACATAAAAGTTCCTGAGAGCTGAAGAATTTAGTTACTGTTTCATGGCAAGGGGTTTTTATTGTTGTGCTTTTTTTTCTTGCCTCTTTTTTTTTCTATTTTCCCCTCTGTGTGGCAAGTCATGGGACTTTTTCTTCTTCCATTGTCCTAGGCTCTGGTCCAGAACACACTTTAGTATGTGGCAGAGAAGTCAGTGGGGCTACTGACAGGATTAAGAAATCTCCTGGAACAAATCTGAGACTTCCTGATGTGATCAGAGTTTAAAGAGTCTCTTATCTAAACATCATTGAAATCAGTAGGACTATTTCTAGTGTTTTCAGTAAACTTTGGATTGTGCTGTTAAAGGCAGTCCTTGCAATTTAGTTGGTAGCCCCAAGTATGCCCCAAGAGGGGTATTCCTGTTTCAATTAGTAGTTTCTAGATTCATAGCTGACTAGGCAATCAGCAAGACCATAGTGCTGTCATAGTGCTTGCAGGGAACAGTTTGATGAGAAAATATACATTGGTCGTTGGGCTGACTGATCTGAGGTTTCAGAAATTTGGGAACTATTGGTCTACATCTGGTTTGAATTGTATGGCCTCAGGGAGCTGTATGAGTGAGGAAAAGACCCAAGCAGTGGAGATTGCTTCTTCACTTGCACTTTTCAGCCTTTCTTCATGCTTACATTAACAGTAATTTTTTTCTTATGTTTGATATCATCTCATAAATACCAAGTCCTTTGTTTATGAAGCTGTTAGTTAATGTTGGCACCTGAATGTCTTCAAATGATATAACTAGGAGGCCCATTGACAGGATAGTATATCAAGTCAAGCAGTTTCTGCTTATAAGTAGTGTATTAACACATCACCGCAGAAGGGAAGTTTCTGGTCTGCTGTTATGTTTTGGTTCCAGTTCATTATGAGTGACTCCTTTTATACGTTAAGGAATTACGAGATGCTGAAGTTTGACAAAGCTGAATGTTAAGAGAGCACATTTCAGTTACATGTGCAGTACTTGCGTTTAAAACAGTTGGATTTCAAACAAAAATGTATTTCCTCAAAATTAAACAACCCCATCCCAGAAAGTCAGTTGTCATGTAATAAAAGTTTCCAAAAGGAGGATTTTACAGATAGTGCAATGCTGGTCTGGTTCTTGATTAGGGATGATTATGGTTGACAGGATCTGCAGACTATCTTGTACAGAAATGAGGTCTTCATGTAGGCTCTGTGTCTTTCAAGCATTACTTAACAGCTTTTGCCTGTACCTCTTCAACCTATATCTTTCCAGATATGTACAGTCTACAGGTCTTAGTATTTTCTACTTATAATGGGTGAGTGATGTTAATGAGAGCTTAAGGTTAGAAATGAGGAATGCTCTATTCTGTAATAAAATATTCAAGTTATTTTTTGTTTAAAATTCCCATTAACTCAGATTTTAAAGATACTAAAGCTTTGTATTTTCCCTAGACTGAGGTGTGCGTGGTCAGCTGGAAAGGAAGGTTGAGGGGAGCAGTCTGTATTGTAGTAGAAGAGACCAACTTGGATATTTCACCATTTTGGAGGCTGATCCTGAGAGGTCATGACTGCTTTCTCTTCCCATTACAATCTGTAATATAAAATGTGTTTTCAAGGAAATTGTGTCTTTGCAAAAGATGCAAAATTTGGCAAGTGCAACATGAGCTGCTAAGGTATTTCAAATCAAAATTTGCATCCCGAATTTGCTGCCTCCTCCTTGTGGCAGCAGAATTGCAAGCAGCAGCTGAACTCAGCTTGCATTGAAGTGCTCTCTTGTTTTACTCTTACAATGTTTTAAAAGGAAATAAAATTTTCTAAGGTTTAAAAACATCGTGTAGGAAAACTAGATGGTCTTCCTTTGAAGGAAGAAACTTGTTAGACCTTTCAATGTACTGTTAGGATAGCATATAAGTAGTCAGTTGGTCCAACATTTGTATTTAAGGACGTATGATTGAAGTGTGCCAGAAGGGAAATATAAAAATAAGATAGTGTCCTTCATTAACATTAAACATCTGGAAATAGTTTGGGGTGGATGCTTAAAACAAAACTTTTCTCAAAACTGTGTGTGTGCACCAAGGTCTGCTAATCTGACCTTCTGTGTCCTCCTTTCTATGAGTGTGTACTGTGATCACTGAAAGCCCTTGTATGAGTGGCTCTCAGGTCACTTACAGGTAAGTTTAATGAGATGGTCTTATTGAAGCAAGTATAGAGGAAACATCTATAAGTTTCAACCTACCTCTTTTGCAGCTGGAAGAAGGAGAATACTTTGCTAAAATGGTGATAGACCTGGGTGAGGATGCTGGAGAGTCCCTAGCAAAGGGTTACCTGGCATTGGGCCTGACATACAGTCTTCAAGCTACTGATGGTGAGTTATCCTGTTTGACAAGTATGTTGTATAGAAAGCATCTGCTCAAAGACTTCAGTGCAAGCAATGGAAATTTATTAGAAACTCTGCTTTTAGTGCTGACTGGACACGGAAAACAATCAGATTGCAAGACAAATGGGGACTGTTCACTTGCTTAGAGAACTGTCTTCTATGGTAGTAAAAGTGAAGTTTTTAGGTAAAGGAAGAAATGCAAATCATTACTTAGGAGATGATAATCTGACTGTAGCCAGCAATGCTTGGTGTGCTTTACTTGAATATTTGTAACACATCTCTTTCACTTATTTACACAATAAAAAGTCAAACTTTCCATCTATTTTCCTATTTTTGTCACCCACTTATAAATCACATAAAGAAATACAATCGAAGAACTGGAGTCAGAAATGCCTGACTTCAGTTCCTGGCGTGATACTGATTCCCCACAGAGATTCAACCTCTCTGTGATGTCGTGTCTTTCTCTGCTTAGAAGTAAACAAGATAAAAATATCTGCCTCAGTGGTACGTGTGGAAGTTGACTAGATACAGACCACTGAATGTAAGAAGGTTTTTTGGGGTTTGGGTTTGGTTTTTTTTTTAATGCTGTTTGCTTGGGCTTTGAATGACTGGACAATGGGCTCCTGCAGATTTGGTGCTTGGTAGCCAGAAGGGCTTGAAGTCTCAGTGTTTTGGGAGAGTTCTAGCTCTGCCCTTCATCAAGCTCACAGATGGAAACAGACTTTGTTTCTTCTATGACTTCTAACATAGATAAAAGGCCTATAGTTTCTTTGAATAATGGCTGAGCTAGTGTGTTTCCTAATCAATTTGGCAGTCCTGCCCACATGCAAGCAATGGCTCTTCTGTCAGATGGGTCCCGTAGAAACGAACCAACTTCCAGCAAATGAGCCTGAGACAAAGCTTAAACGACTGTATGGTATCATGGAAGTATGGTGGCCTTGCAAGTTACACCAGAATTCTGCAAGGCACGTGTATGAGGAAGTGGCTTGTGCTCTTCAGTACTGCAAATTGGTGTAATTTTTCAGCCAGCCATATCTGATAAGCTGAGAACTGCTTTCCAACGTGGAGGCTAACACGCACTGTAGGTCTCTTCAGGTCTTCATTTCTCTGCCTCAGAATAGTTTCCCCTAGAAAAATTATGCCAAGAAACACGTCCTTCCTACCCTGAACTTTCTCATATACGTTTTTTTAAAAGTTTATTAAATATTAAGTTCTGCTTAACAGCCTAGCTTTTTAGAGCATTTTGCCTAGATTTTCTTTAAACTGTCCCTAAAGATCTTCAAGATCCCAGAGACTATTTTCAGAGATAGAAGGTTTTCTATGTTAGCCCATTACAATCTATTCGTTATCCTCAGTACGAAGAGAAGGTGGTTTCTAAAGAATGGGGTTGTAGAGGCATGTGCTGTACTCTGACTCTAAAAATACTTTGGTGCAGCAAAACGTAAGTTGCAAACTTTTCTTTTGGAAGAGAAGTCTTCTCTGAGTTTTCAAGAAATTAGTTCAGATGTTGTAAAATAATGTAAAGAAACAGTCTTCACAACAATCGCCTTGGATTTTTTTTTTTCCAGATTAACGTCTGATTTATGTTGTGAAACAGTGGAATATCTGCCTTCTTGTATCTCTAGCCTTTAAGTCAATAGGGCCAGTCACTCATTTAAGGGAAATTTGAAGAGTTAAGGGAAATCTGAAGACTGTATATCTGTCTTTCAGGTTATATTTTAATAAAAAGGATTAAGTACTTCAAAAGCATACTTATGATGATCATGAATACAGAACAGCATTTTACTAGAAAATGTCAAATTTGCACTAACGAGACATTTTGCATTAGCATTGTTAAAAAAAAGCTTATCACAGCAAGGAAGCAAGAGTAGAACATGCTGAAAGGAAGATAGCAACTCCGCTATGTAATCCTGCCTCATACTATCAGTCTTGTTTACCATTGTGTTCATACCAGTTCATAGTGATGTATGCAGACACATAATCAAACATGTCTGTGTGTATATGATTTCCATAATTTTCCACTTGACCTGATTTTCAGTGAGTCAGCATTTTCAATGGTAGCTAAGTGTTTCAGAGGCATTTGACCAATTGCCTTCTAAAGCTTACAGCATTATATCAAGATGTCTTCCATCTAAGGTTAAGCTTTTGCTTTTTAATATATCCTTTCAGTAAATATTTCTCCTCCTGTGTGACAAAGGCCCTGAGGAGTTGTATTAAAGCCTTTCTTTTGTGACCTGCAAGAAGCGTTTGCTAAAAAGCAATCAGAAGAGAGAATCCTACTGAATGACAATTCAAAGAACTTGGGAGAGCATTTGATAAAAAGTCACTTTACAACTTTTAGATTTACTCCTGGATGAAATAAGATTTCCTGAAACTTATGCTGTGTAGCAGTATATGTAGCTTCCGTGTTCTTAATGTCTAATTACATGTTTCTTGAATTAAGTATCATTAAAGTAGCTGAAAGATGTGTCCTCAGAGGGAGTCATTGCTACTTTTGCCTCTCTCTTAGAAGCACAAATCCCTTGTTTGTACAGAATGTCCACCTTTGCTATGCTAAATTTTCTGCAGATTTGTGCCCAGGGGGTCAATGTCAACAGCAAACCTTTCTTTTCCCTCTTGTAGTTCCAGTTTTGAGTTTAAGCTGTATTGTCAACTTTGCCTCCCTTAGGTCTGGTGAAGAATCTGTTGAAGACAGGGGAAGGTGAGATGAATATAACAAAGGCTAAAGAGGAAAGACGAGGTTGAAAATGCATTGTGAAATACAAATTCTCTTCTTATCTAACACCACCACCTCACATTTTGTTAAATCTTTGTAGATTTAACAGACCCTCTTTCAGACATGAGAGAGTGTGCTGTATCTCTGTGTTCATTTAGAATTTTGGGATAAGGCCATGGATCAGGGACTGAATTAGAAACTCTTTCTGTTGATCCTCATGGATTTTTATAAATAAGCAGTATACTGATAGGACTGGTTAATGTTAAAAAAAAATAAATGATTTAGACACTATTTATTAGTGAACAAACCCATCGTTTTTGCTTCTGGAGATAACAGTCAACACATGCAATCTTTAATTATAATTCTGGGTGCTAAAACTGTACACCTTGCTGTATTAGGTGTCTTAACACAAGGGGATGTTTTTTGAAACTCGTTGATATGTGCAAAAGGGTGCATGTGCATTGATGTTTTAGTTTGGATCAGAAATGTACTTTTGAAGTTCATCTCTCCGTCATCCCCACTTCTTGTGTTGTGATTCACATAACTGAACAGTTTTGCACAAGACAAACCTAATTCTTTCCCATAAAACTTTCCCATAAATAGACCTGATTATGCTGCAGCTGCTAATGGGTGTTGAGTCCAGAAACAAGACTAGAACAAGAGCCCTGTCCCCGTGTTTGTAGTGTTGGTGCTGGTCCTCAGCATTGTTTCACTCCATGCATTCACACCTACTGTGCTGCACCTGCTTACTAACACAGAACCTGCCCTCCTCGGTTTTCAAATGTGACTTTAGAGCTTCTTATTCAGGTACCAAAATGTCGCTGAAGATCCTGTTGACTTTTGGTAAGACTTAAGTTCCTTTAAAAACCCAGAATGTTTTAGAAAATAAATCTTGGGTTCCTAAGGTGGCATTGGCACAAGTAGTGTGTTTTGCAGAAATAACTGCTGAAGTTTCAGAAACTTAAACTCCCCTGTGCTCTCTGCCTTACTCTGGTCAGACTCGGCTTTCACGTTATTTTAATCTAAGTAATGAGTCATACTGCATTTTAGTTGGTAGAACTGTAACAGCCATGCTCTCAGGGGGTAGAGTTGGGTAGAGGCTGAAGAATTCCTTAGTGCTGTCAGCCTCGGAGAATGGAGCACAACTTTTAGAAATTTAGTCAGACCCACCTAATTCTGTCTCCTTGGTGCAAGCTTTTCTTTGTCTGAAGTGAGAGCTTTTCAGTGATACAATGTTGCTGTTCCTCCCAAATGAACCTGATGTTTTGAAGAACTGTAGGAAGATGGAGGAGTAAAAAAGGTCTGATCACTGTAACTACTTCAGCAAAATAAATTACTTCCAAAGTTTCACTCACCAGCACATTGCAGAATCCAAAGAAACTGATTACCATTCTACATCTTGTAGAACAACACAACTCTTTCCTCTTAATAACTTTTAAGAATACTTGAATTTTATCTGGTTTTGTTGCTTAAGTATATACCATTTACTAACTTTCTGTTCTGGAGCTTACACTGCCTTGATGTATGAAGTCAAATATATTCAAAGGTGGATGTTTGCCGATGTATTAACTACTCATCGCTTTTTGGTGCTGTTGATTAGTAGCTCTCAAGTTCAGGATAGGTAGAACAACAAACAACTGCCATGCAAAATCTGAAAACTAAGAACCAGAACAAGACAGCTGATGTACTTCTGAAAATTATCACTAGCTTTCCAGATATTTTGGATCTAAGAAAGCCATGCTTCTCTAAGCTCTTCCTCCATTCCCCTTGCTCTTGATGATGATACCCTGGCATAACAAGAACTTGATTCTTCTTCTTTTATGGTTTTGGCTAGGAATCAATTCATGCATTGAGAAGTGAGCATAGTGGGCAGGATCCTTTAGTCAAGCAATTAGAGGCACCAAAGAGGGCATTAGTGGCTAACGCCACACCTGAAGTAGCCTAAAAGTCTCTGAAGGGAGGTGGTGTGTTGTCATGGGACTTGTCATAGAGCTGTAAATTTGGCTCCTAGTGTTCCCTCTTCAACCTGCAACACCCTCCTACACAAAGATGGTGGTGGAGATGGTCTGTATCTGAGTCAGAACATGCTGCTAGTTACTGCTTTAGCATATATACCAGCCTGGCAGGGGGCCTGTTATGTTCTTAATATCTAGTCCCCTTCTCCTCTGAGACCCCTTTAGTGGCATATGTAAATAAGAAATTCTCCAGCATTTCAGACAAGGGAGTAGGAAGAATCCTTAATAAAAATGAAATTGAGAATTCAGGTTAAAATACTGGGTTTGTGCTGTTCTTTAAAAACAAAATGGCATGTTTTCCAGCCACAAACACAGGCACTGCCAGATGTCCACACTTTTCATGCTCCTACTTTGAAATACTCTGTGCATGTGTAACTACTTATTTATTTAATCAGAAACATTGAGTTCAACTCTTAAATGGCATTGTATCGTATCCCACAGCTACTCTGAGAGGCACTCAGGATGAATTAAACAAGAAAGCACTGCAAACTTTGGAGAGGTGAGTAGGAATATTGCAGAGACTTGCATTGTGTATTTCTTTGGACAAATTCAGAATAATTGTTGGTTTTAATGTGTTGGGTTTCTTTTGTTCTGTGTAAGGCTTCCTTGCCTGAAAGTTTCAAAACAGTTCAGTAGATTTCAGCAATAGTTTGTCAAAACCATTCCTGTGATGGCTAAACACAGTGATTATTTGGTGGAATAGCTAAGGTAAGAATACCTGTTCTGCCACTAAACAGCCTTAGCCCCAAATTAGCTGCAGTGAGATCTACCATGCTGGGAGATGCAGCTTTCTCACGTGATGCCAGCAGGAAAGCCAGTTTTGTTTCCATTTCTGTGTGAAGCAGGCTTAAACTCCTGTTTCCCTCATGGTGGGAAAGTACCTTCACCACCGGGGTGTAGGCTGCTATGGGGTGACCTGGCATTAGTGCACTTACCAGGGACGGGACGATTGCTGTCCTAATGAGTGTTTACATGAGCTGTTGTATGAAAAGTGGTTATGGAGCTAGCGCTACAAAGTAGTTAACACTCACCTGTTTTTCACCGCTGTATTTTGTGGGAGCGTCTGATCCAATGGCTCTGCCTTGAAAGTACCTGTGAATTAAACTCCTTTGCAACTACAGTTACCTCAAGTAAAACTGTTTGGGTTAAAAACCCTTTTGTCAATTCTGTTGTCATAGAGAGGTGAGGTGTGAGCTTCCTGAGCATTTTACAACTAAGTTACACCACCCAAAATACACTAGGTGGTGTTTGGGCAGTTAAGGTTGTAAATGTAGATACCTACAGGTGTTGGATGGCAACTAAATGGAAGCTTACATGGTCTAAGTCTTGGGCTGAAATATCTAATTCTGGGTTTGGCATGGTCATAAATATATGACAAAAGTGAAGAAGATTTGAGATCTCTGGTGTCTCAAATTACACGTGTAGCAGGTTGAACATGTTACTGATCTTAGCTGTTTTTCTGATGCTGAGCAAGGAGCATGTTTGTCTTGCACTGTTTTGCAGTGGTTGCAAGAGCGTGTAATAAGCTGCAACCACAGATGTAATTCTGGATATTTACCCTATGGAGATCTGAAAGATAAAATTTTAAAAAGCCATTTATTCAGTCACTTTTTAGATTAGGAGTATACTTTAAGTCACACTAGTTCCTGGACTCCTATGTAATACTTTACTGCCCAATTTTGATGTAATTGCAGTGCTTTTAAACTGTGTTGATTTTTATCCTTTGACCTTTCCCACTGGCTGTGGCTTGTTTTCACGGTGTCTTAGCTCTACAAAGGAAGCAGAAAAGCCTCTAGCCAAACATTAGGTACTCAAACTTCAGCCAACAGGGATGTTGTGACAGTGAGCTGGTTACTAGTGTCTTTCTAAATGACTGAGTTTGGTTTCTTTTTTTTTTTTTCCCCCTCCCCTCTTCCTTGTTTTTCACCTGTTTTTAAAGTACATGTCTGATCTCTCAGGTCATAGTTTGGCCTGTAGCTATCTTTGTAAGTGGCCCTTTCAGCTGGAAGCTTGGATCAAATATTTTTCTAATACCATTTGAGGAAACTAAACAGTAAAGTAAGAACCCTCTGTTTCTTTCCAAAAGCAGCGTTAATCTCTTCTTCCGTACACCCATGTGAACTTTCCCCATTCTTTATTGTTGGAGAAGCTACTGAAGGTTTCACAGGATCTGCTTGCTAAAGAGGCAGCTCACCCTGCTTCAGTAGCTTAAGGCAAAGCTGGGTTCCATCTTGTGGAGTCTTGTTGTTGTTTGGTTTTGGTTTTGCTTTAGTTTTGTTGTTGGGTTTGGGAGGGGGGGCGTTTGTTTGTTTTGTTTAAAGTGAGGGGAGAAATTAGTGACTTGCCTGTACTAATTGCACTTTGATGTCTTTGGCATTGCTTCAGAATCCTTGAGCGCTACCTTGACTTGCAGAGTTGCAGGATACATTCAGTCAATACTAAATTAATTAGTTCTAGAGACATTAGTTTTAAAAGTCAATCCAACAGCTTCTTGCTCACAGGCCAAGACAGCATTTGAGAGGTGGCTGCCATTAAAATGGTGTGTGGTTTGCTTCCTGAAGTAATTCTTTGATTTGTGTTTGTTTGTTTATTATTAGTAAATGAATAGTTTTGGCAGGGTTTTTAACCACCAGCCTTGTCAGCCTGTCGTTTCTCCCTCACAAGGACGTTAATCGTGCTTGTTTTGGGCAGGGCAATGCAGGTGCAAGCTTCCCTGGTGTCCTGGAGCGCAGCCCAGAAAGAGGTCAGGAACGTCGGCTGGCTGCGAGGAACTCCTCTTCCCCATGTCTCCCACATGAAGTGACTTCCCTGTGCCGCAGAGCTAGGAGTGAGCTCTGTGGGTCAGTGAGGGGATAATCCACTGGTTCCTGGGCTGGGCTGCCAATGTTGCATGAGCTAGTGCCCCATGTTGCTCCTAGATTAAGTCCCCAGAACGTTATCTTCACATTGCCTTGGTTAACGGCTTCTCCACAGGCTAGCAAGCTCAGACTGCAGTTTTGTTCTTAGCACAGTCTGAGAGGGACAATTCTGCCCTGGTTGTCCATCCCTGTTCCCTGCCTTGCACAAGCCTGTGTGAAGTGCCTCCACATCTGGTTCTGGAGACACTGCAGCCTTCACTAGCCAAGGGATCACTGCAGTGCACGCTGCCTGCTGTGGACTAGAAGGTAGTATCGAAGAAGCCCAAGCTTGAGAAGCAAGGGCCTTGGTTATGGTCCAGGCTCAGCTCCTGCCATCAAATCCTTACTCCTCCCTCAGTGTCTTCCCTTTCCAAATTAGGAGTCTACTGTCAACGATTAGACTAGAAACTGCAGGGTGGAGGATGTTTGTGTGTTTCAGCACCAGCTCACGTCATGGGCTCCTGATCTTTAGTTCTCTACATGCTCATAGTCACAACAATAACAGAAACAATTACTACTTTTTCAATGCTAACCTAACACACTGCTATTGTTTGAAAAGTGGCAATGTAGGAACAAGTTGGACAACTATCTCCTTCACCTAAATTACTTAAAACAATGCTTTAATGGGTTTGTCACGAGTTAAGAGCTACTTTCTCCATAGCAGTTATCCAAGTTCCAAAACATTAAGTGTCGTTTAATGAAGGAGCATGCAAGTTGTATAACATCCTGGTAGTTGTGTTTCTCATACCTGTGCCTGTGAGCCTGGCTTAGCCAGGCCAGCATTGATCTGCTTTTTGTCTAGTGTTGGTGTGCTCCCCCGTTACTGGACGAGTTTTCTGTAGGAGAGGACTGGGTTTTGTTCTGTGCTTGTGTGTGACTCATGGCAAAGAAGTTCTGCACGGTACAATCTAACAATCGCTTTTTTTTTTGTATTGTGTGGTCGTCCATGAAGAGCACGTGACTTGGCCCCGGAAGATCACCAAATCATCCTCTACCTATCGCTGCAGCTGGCTCTTGTCAGACAGGTATGTGCAATAATTGGCAACTACTGGGTCATGAGAGGGTGGGAGAAGGACAGTCCAATTAGAACGCAGCCTTGCTAAACAGGGTTCCTTCCTTCCTACATTGTAATCAATAACAATCAATCAGAATATGTTTGTGTAAGATTTTTTTTTTATTATTATGTTTTAAATAGCAATTCTGTAGTGCATGGAATGACCTTCCCTAAGGCATGCATTCAGCTCTAACTCCTGCGCAGTGCTCTTCCCACTTGGAGCACTGGGGTGGGGCAAGCGAGGTGTGTTTATTCCTGTTCCCTGGGTATCATGCTGTGTCCCGTGGCGGGCCGCTCCAAAGGCTCTCGTTACTGCCCGGTTCTGTATCACGCCAGAACGCACGCTCTCTGCACTGGGGATTGGTTTATTCCATACTTGGGCACGTTCGGCGTTAGGCTTTGACGGGTGCTGGAGCTCTGCAGTGAGTGGGATTAGTTGGCATTTGAATGCTGCTGCAGGTGTTAACTCATAAAAATTAAGCTGATCAGAAAATACACTGCAGTGCCTTTCAGAAAAAAAACAAACAACACCCAACACGTTTTGGCTGTGCTTTATTTTTCTGTCCCTTTTTTTTATACTTGGGATGTGTTTTGCTTCTCTGTCCCTTCTGTTTAAAAGCCAAAGTCTTTACTGGAGCAGCCTCTATTTTTTAAATGTTTCTCTAGCTAGATTTGAAATTTCATCATCATCGTTTCCTTCTTTGGCAGGCTTTCTGCTTGCTGCAGTTTTCTCTCCTTAGTCTACACTACAGAGTCAAACAGCTGGATCTTTCTTACCTTCCTGAGCTAATTAGGGGAGCTGTATGTTCATTAGGTTAAACTAATTGTTCCAAGAGAGCACACTTTTGATAATGTCACTTTTGTAACCCTTTCATAATGAGAGCAGTGTGTTGTGAGGAAGCCTGCCATAGGAAAGGATAATTAAAGTGGCTTATTTAACTTCCTCATCTGGCTACTGGCTGCTTTAGGATGCAGTTTGCTCAGGGTCTTTCATGTAAAAAATAGCCAGCTATTCTTCCTTTTCTCACAACTTTTGCCTCTTAGGGAGGTTGCCTGATCTGCTGCCTCTTCTTCTTCTTGCCATGAGTAAAAACATTACAGCTTTTCAGCTGCTATCCTTAAAAATCAGATTTTTGTGGTCATTGGTTCTTTGTTGTTTTCACTGCTACTGGTCCACTGCATTTTAACTCACTACGCTTTCTTTTTCTCCAGTTGTAGCCTGTCTGTACAGTGTTGTTTCGTATGTCTCATTTCATCATTTCCCTTCCCTCCTGTTCTTTCCATTCAGTCTCTTGTCCTCATGTTCACTTTCTCTTTTGTCTGCCTCACCTGTGTATTTTCATCCTTGATGTTCTGTCAGTTGCCCCTGCTACCATGGATGTGTGATCTAAGTGTGTTATGTAGTGTCAGCCTGACCCCTGCGATGCTGCTCCTGTTCCTCTCCATCTAGTGAGATATAAATCTTTAACGCGTGCTTGGAGAGAGAGTAGATACCTAAGACATCTTTATTTTTAGACTGCTGTAAAATATCCTACTCTTCTTTTGCCAGTTTACTTAATAATAAACATTTGGTAATGCATTTTTAATATCCTTAATTATTTTAAAGTAATATTTCTTTTTCTGATTAACTGAAAGATAAATGGTATCTTTTTTTGATAGATTGCATTAACTATTGAACGTCACAGTTAGGGCTTGTATCAGGCGATGCTACAGTAACAACAAATCAGGTCATTCCTACACAGTAGATTATAATATAATACCTGAATGTTATTCTCAACAAACAGACCTTTTTGTTTCCATAGTCAAGGTCAATAAATGAGGTAACCTTACCCAACGCTGAAAATCCTAGGTATCAGCTTGCATAGATAAGCGAGCGTTTTCATGGAACAAAGCAAGAGAGGCAGCTGACCGGTAGAGTGCCAAGCAAAGTTGGAGCAATTGATCTTCCTTGGAAGACTCTGTAAAGTATTTCCAATAGCACTTGTCTCTGTCAGCACTAGGCAAGGGAGAGGGGAAATGGAAAAGCATAAGCTTCCCTGTGACACACAATGAGGACATGACAAGAAGAGGAATGGTTATAAAAGGTTTTTGCAAAGCTGGCGACTGAAAACAACCAGCAACCAAAATGGAAGATGATGATGATGTGCTCCATGCTTGTGTTTGTGTGTGTAGCTCTGTGTCTTAAAGCCACTGGGAGGACTCCAGGGACTCCTGGAGGGTCTAGGTCAGCCCCATAGCATTTTAGGGTGGATTTTGCAGCAAAATACAGAGTAGAATATCCTTCTCTGTAAGGAGGGTCTCGGTCTGGTTTCCCCCAAGCGGAGGTGTCACAGGGCCAAGGTCAGTATTTGCTGTAGCAGTTATCTCCACCTGCAGCGCCTGGCTGCCAGCCGGGCGGGCTGATCGACAAATGAGACTTGTAACTCCCAACTCCTGGCGGCTGCTTCGGCTGCTTCTCCTGTTTCTGTGGTAACAGCAGTTGGATCAGCAAAAACAAGGTAGAATGAACATTTTAAAGCTCACTGATTTTAATGCCTTGCCTTGTTTTTTAGCAGGGCAGTTTCTATGGAAATGACTCTAGAGAATCAGCGCTCTTGATAATTTTAAGTGCTGATTCCCTTCTCGTTTTGGGTGGTGGTGTTCTTTTTGACCTTGAAGGCCATGTAAATCAGTATCGGATACATAAAAACAACATATGAGGGCTTCGTACTACTTTAATACTTGATTTGATTTGACCTTTCTTTGCGTGAAAATAGGAAGGGAAAGATAGCCACGGGCCAGCAGCTGAGAATTAGAGATCTCGCTTACCAATTTCATCTGTGGGCTGCCATCAGACCTGAAGTTTCCAGTGGCAATATCCAGAAAACACCTACTGCCTTCCAGAGTGTCTAGATGTAAAAATAAGATAAACATTGGTTAAAACACAAGAGAAAATATTTCAGCTGTTTTCTCAACAGTTTTTATTCTGGTCTCAAGAAGGTGAGACTGCTGTCTTGTATTTGCCCCAGGAGGGGAGCTGTATTTCAGTAGGTATCAAGAGGTGCTTCTTACAGCAACTGCTGGATGTGGGTAGTTCTGGTCTATGTTCCTCCCAGACCAGCTAGTGCCTCCTCTGCTGAACAGCAACATGCTGATTTTCTGTCTAGGGCCTGGCCTAGATTATTCTGGTGATCGGAAGCATCTTGTGGTAAGAATTAAGTAATAACAACTCACAGATATATCCACACCTGCTTTCCTGAAGTTCTGGTGAACTGTAGCAAGTCTGTTTTAAATGGAGGCTTTTGTCAGTCAAAGTTTTCTCTTTTCTGTAATCCCCATGCTGTAAAAAGTGACGGTGAGGATAGTTTTAATGGTTAATTAACTGTAACTCACAACTGATGGGAAATTATAAGGCCTGAAAACTCCTCTTATGAGATTCTGTTTCATTAACCATTCTAAATATGTAAGTGCAGTCTACTGTTGGGAATTATTTTTAACACTCATACTGTTTTCCTTTTTATACCTACAATTGTAGCATCCCAGCGTTGTTTCTAAAGAAACATATAGCATTATTTAAATAAATCCTATTATATAAGAGGCAGCCTAAACAATCTGTATTATGGCATTATTTTGATCGTGCTGCAAAATGCTATTTCTGGCTTACTGCAGTATCTTCATTTCCTAATCAGTGTGATCTGAATATACCTGTGTGGCCATGCAGAACACGTATGGTACATTCATTAACAGAAAGATGAATCAGAAAAGGGTAGCATCTTCTAATTGCAGGCCCACTCTGACTTGCAGTCCAGCTGAGGTAAGCTTACTTTAAAGCGCAGCACTTGTAGGGAATTTAAACTGGCAGACTACCTCTCATACAGCCCTGAAGTTTCAGGGTGCCATCTGGGCTGCCAGCTTCCATCTTTCTCATATTGCATAGTTACTTAAATAAATAAGTTGTGGCATCTGTCAATAGATTGATGATCTCTGCTTTTCAAAAGAAGTTTGTGTTGACTACTGCCAAATATCTTGCTTTTATTGTTCTAGAAATTTAGTTTGTATTTTGTTGCATCTGGTCTGTTGCAGGTTGTTGTTTTGTATTATGCTTCCCATAAAGGAATAGAGTTCATATTATTAAAGGATATTTTTTCTGTGTTTTGTCCACTGTTTCTAATAATGCAGCAGTACTGTGTAAGCCACTAATGGTGTTACAGCACTAAGGAATCTTTTTGGGCTCGAGTTAAATAATCGGGTGTCAGGGAAGCATGATTAACTTCCAAAAACAGCCATTGCCAGTTACTCTGATGGTACTAGAGGGAAGCACTGAAATGAGATGTAACCATTGCAAGCCCTATGCTACAGAACAGGGGAGAATTATTTTAGATTATGTGTATTTTGACAGTATGTGACTGCCTGTTCAGCACGCACAGGTTTGCAGGAGCGACTACAACTGACTTTTGTGCTGCTTTGTTTCATGTATGTTGCAACAGAATCAGAGAGCTTCTTTGCTAGTTGGCCTCTGTTAGGGTATGAACTTGTAGTTGCATGATCGTTGGACACTTGCACATATAAAGCAAAGTCTCAGTGACTTTGCACATTCACGTGCAAGTAAGGTCAAATATCCTTACAATTTCAAAGTCCCTCAGTGAAGATGCTAGTTGCAAGTATTATTCTTTGATTCATACTCGCAAATTAGGATCACCTTCCCCTTGAACAGAATCACAGAATAGTTGAGTTTGGAGGGGACCTCTGCAGATCGCCCACTTCAATCGCCCACTGTTCAAAGCAGGGTCAGCTGGAACAGGGTCTTCAAAGTCCCCTCCAGTTTTGTTTACAGTTTTTCATTTTCTTCTAAGGAACTTATTTTTCCCAAAACTTGGAATTACCTTATGACTACTCGTGCAGGTCTGAGACAGAGGAATAGAAAAAATAAGAGGTGTTTTTTAATCCTGAAGACTCTTGGCAGCAGCTTTGTTTTAGCAAGTCAAATTTATATACTTCTGGTATACCTTCTGAAGAACTTTGTGGACAGGCAGGTCTGGGCCCACTAGAGTCTCATGCCTGTTGACCTGGTTCCAAGTTGTCTTGTCATTGCTAGTTTTTTTTACATTGTAAGAAAATGTGTCTTAGTAAGCTGCTAAGGGAACAGTGGTGATTTAAGCCAATGTGTTTACCTTTGTAGTAGGCTGTAATAACACGTGGTTAAAGTAGCTCCACTGACAAGCAGTAATTCATTAAAGCTGAGCACTCAGTCATATATCCCAACCTGAATCTAGGCCAGGACATTCAGCAGTTTTGAAGCTGTGGGCCAGATGCCAGTTTGGGGTTATGTCTGTGGAGCAGCCGTACTGATCTCCAGGCTTGCATGGAGTCACCAGTAGTAGAGTAGTAAAGTACTTGGATTGCATATGCACAGTAAGAGTGAAATGTCACTTGGACATTAGGATGAAGTTGTCCCATGAACAGAACATGTACCACACTCCCAGAAGTATACCTGGGATCTAGATAATCAGGAACCTCTGTTGTAATTGCAGGCAGTGTAATTGTTGCTTTCCTTAGTTATACTACCCATTGTCCTGAGTGGCCTGTAGAGGCAGTGGGAATTTGACACTGGTGGTATGCCAAAGCAGGAGAACGTCTGCAGAGCTTGGTAGGTGGAAAGTTCTCGTAGTAGGAAAGAAGGAA